TTATAGATATATATAGATGTTTATTGCTGGAAGACACACTCTTCAGGTATTTGGTCAGCTGTAGAATTTGAATATGATGTTTTTTATTATTGTCAAAGGGTAGGTTTTTCATTATTTGCAATCTAATATGTGTGCAGTGAAACATACTGAGATTTGGAAGAGTCAGTATTTAAAGTACAGGTGTTGTTAGATATCAGCATTTTATGTACATGTTCCCTTGTTAAGATCATCTATCGAGTATATTAGAGAAGGTGTATATTTGTAGTGTTTTAAATCAGAGTTATTTTCAGTGTATGACCTACATTTCAATATGTTTTGGCCACCTGTCACCCCTTTGGTCAAATAGAGTAGGACTTCCATTTCTTGGAATTGAGAGTCAGAAATGCACTGTTTCCAAGAATTTGCGTGTGCCAGCGATGTTTTTTTACGAGTACGTTTAAGTCTTTTTGAGTGTAGATTGGAGTTGTAAGAGATGTTATTCAATGTCTTATTATTCAGGGTATGATAGATTATTTCTGGCAGTGTAGAGTTTAATCTCATTATTCTATTGTTCATGATTCAGAGAAGCATAGTTATGACGTCGCAGATAATACGCCCACATAATTCATTATATGAGAGATTTTCTAAGCGTTTCTATAAGAGATTAAGTGTAAACATTTATGAATTATAAAGAAGTTATTTATCTGAGTTTTATGAGTGTACAAATGACAAAGAGAAAGAGAGAGAGAGTAGATAATAGAGAATATATTGTATACTTATGAGAGCTCATTATTGTTTTCAGAACTCCATGATCCATACTTCCTTGTGTTTGGGAACAAATGGTGTTGGGAGACCTCCCACAATAGACTTGTTCTTTGACCTGTGAACCACCACCCATTTTGTTTTCTTATCATTTAATGTAAAATGGCTTGTGTGAGTGAGTGAGTGAGTTGAGTTTTACACCGCACTCAGCAATATTCCAGCTATATGGCGGCGGTCTGTAAATAATCGAGTCTGGACCAGACAATCCAGTGATCAACAGCATGAGCATCGATCTGCGCAATTGGGAACCGATGACATGTGTCAACCAAGTCAGCGAGCCTGACCACCCGATCCCGTTAGTCGCCTTTTACGACAAGCATAGTCGCCTTTTATAGCAAGCATGGGTTGCTGAAGGGCTATTCCACCCCGGACCTTCACCTTCAAAATTGCTACATCAGTACAACTCCTATTAATTTGAAATAATCATTTCCGAGAATCTCTAAAGAAAACTAAATCTGACAGAATAACAACAATCTTCCATTGTTTTGCAGGACAATGTCAAACAATTTGATGTCAGGAGTGAATGTTGATCGGCAAAACGGCAAGTTTTCTTTTAAGAATACAAGGTTGTATTCAATCATCTCTGGTAAGTTAATTACCAAGTGCAGCATATTCATCATGACCATAGCAAATAATATATGACAGTAAAGCAGCATTTAATTCATAGTCTAATTGAATAATCAACTTGCAATTGAGGATTTTCTTTGAAAATGTTTAAGAAAACTTCCATTCCTTCGGTTGAAAATATAAATTGTTTACACTTTTCGTCATATTTTGTATTGATGCTGTTCATATGTCCACATGCCAAGTTACAGCAGTGAAAGGAACCTTTCAAGTGATTGATTAAACAAATATTTGAATTATTTAAGACAATATATCTTCCATATAACTTATTCATGTATTTAAATATAAAATTTCAGAATGTGTCCTATCTCATGGGAATGAGATGGGAATGCATCCGAAGCAAATTTCAAGAAAGAGTTAGGGACGTTTCTGAAATATCCACCTGACCGCCAGGCTGGGAGTGGCAGAAAGAAGAGGAGCTGATAATTGTGTTTTTGGAGTTGTAATTGTGTTGAAAAATCTGAACTGTGGTATTGAAATTGGTGGCGTAAATGTCACTTTGATGCTATATGCAGATGATATTGTGTTATTAGCACAACAGAGATCACCTACAGACTATGTCATGTGTGATGTTTTACATTATGCATTAAACCACGTTTCTCTGTGCGTGTGTGTTCATAAAGATTTCATGAAAAGTGACTTGTTTTATGTGCTGTTTTAAGGTATAGTTCCTGGTCATCTTGGATCCCTTTCATGGTGAAAGTAATTGCATTGTGTTTATTCAGGGGTCTGTCTAATAGCTGAAACTCAGACAAAATGTCTTCTGGGGACAATTTCCACCTTTTCAAGATAACAATACAACAGTAAATAGTTTTTCTTAATTTGGAATACTCTTTTCTTCTTACTGTAATTATACGTCCAACTGACATAAAACTTAAATGAACATTATATTGAATGTGGAATTTTAACCAAGTATTTTATCAGGTAAATATTTTTACTGCAATTTTCTGTTTGAACACTGTTTATTGCAGGTAGCTTTTTGGGTATTTTAGCTGGATGCAGGAGTTTGGTGCTACTTTAGTGTAGTTTAAAGATGAAGTGCAAGTCTATTTACAGGAAAGCGTAATCCCAGACACAACCACGGAACAACCCATTTTCAACGTTAATAATATGTCAAACTTCAACGTTGATTCCACGTCGGATATCTACGTCTAAAAAACTTTCATATACAACCACGGAACAACCCATTTTCAACGTTAACAATATGTCACACTTCAACGTTGATTCCACGTCAGATATCTACGTCTAAAAAACTTTCATATACAACCTTTTTTCAACGTTGATAATCGGTCAAACTTCAACGTAGATTCCACGTCGGATATCTACGTCAAAAAAACTTTCATATACAACCTATTTTCAATCTATTTTCAACGTTGAGGATCAACCTATTCTCAACGTTGAAACAACGTTGATGTGCCTGCTGGGTAGCTTTTGCTGACAAGAAAAGCAGATTTAGAATTATCTCCCTTCCATCGATTTGCATTCGCAAAACATCGGTAATTTCCGTACATCATACATGATTCAATGTTATTCGAGATAAAGAATTACTACCACCAAGTACCAAATGAGTTGCCATTGACATCGGGGTACATTGAAATTATTCTATTGTTGAAAATAATAGAAGAGCGCTCAGCCAATCAGAAAGCGACATTTATGTGTGAGGTTAGATAATAGAGAATTATTCTGGATATTTTACCAACAGTTTTTGTTGAAGATTAAGTATATAGGCTCTCAATTTCCTGTTTTTGCAAACATAACAGTGAATAAATTACCGATCTATTCTCAGACTGTGAAATTGTTCTCCAGTCATTGCTTTTAACCGATTTGAATATTCCGTTACAGTTTACAAAACAGAACATTTTGTTTGGTATCAAAAGAAAAAATAACTCAGTTAATATCGTAATACTTGTTGTAAAGCAAGTTAAGTTTAGACAAAGTAGAAATTCAACTGTACCCTTTATCAGCCATGTCAAAAGGGAGATATTTAAGTATTTTGTTTATCTTTAAACTTGATTATGTTGATGTTCAAACAATACATACCTGCATACTTGCAATACATGTGTACACAAACACACACACGAGAATCGTTCATTTCAAACATTGGCAAAACAATCAGTGTAAAGCACTGGTCTAGAAGCATCCAGTGAAGCGGGAAATATTCAATTGGTGACCCAGCTTATTACTGAATGTGTTAAATGTATGGAAGCTTTATATACTAACTAAAATTGCATAAAATATAAAGTAGTTTGAAAGTTAATAATAGCCCTAAATATACACGTAACAAAACACTTTGAATGAACTGTAATATCTCGTATCGCGTGTGGCACGTGCACTTTGTGCACAATGAATTTACTCACTTTTTGCATGCTTTTTGACACCTGAAGTTCACACATCTGATATTGAAATTTGAAGAACGGTTGCTTATTCTCTTGCCTCTGACTTTTGTGGAAAACACGTTAATTTCAACCTAAACTGCGTGTAGGTCATGTCACGGCTTACAGAGAGATTTGTCTAGAACCGGCTGTGCAGGCAAGACAACCACATTCAGCTGACCCATCTAAGGAATCAATTCCAGACTGCCAGTTTGACTGTTCGGACCATTCCTGGTTTACGTCCAAATGGTGCACTCAGCATCTGCGGTGCAGGGGACAAGATTAGGACAGTGTTTTGTACACTGACGAGACGAGATTTCGTCTGGACTGCTCAGATGGCAGGACAAGATTGTGCAGACAGTGAGGTGAACGGTATGCTGACGCGTGCGTTGTTCAACGTCGACAGTTTGGTGGCGTAAGCGTTATCGGGTGGAGGACATCACATCTCATGGTCGGACACAACTTGACATTATCAATGGCAATATGACAGTCTGCGATATAGGGATGAGATCATTGGGCCTCACGTGCAGCCGTTCATTCAAGGACAGAGATGTACCTCCATGCTTCAGCAAGATAATGCCCGCCCACATGTCGTTTATGGTTTCCTGAGACAACTGAACATTCCTAACCAGCTGTTTCTCCGGACATGTCCCCTATCGAGCACGCTTCTGATGAAATGGAGAGACGTCTACGTCAAGCCCAGAATCAGCCATTAACGTTAGCAAAATTGGGACAAGCGTTGTCAAGCCTGCATCAACGCCACTGGTGGCCATACACGATACTGAATTTGACTTTTGACACCACATCTCTTCAAGGACGTGCCACGATGCCTAGTTCTAAATTATACAGATTTCGATAATTTATTATATTAACCTGTCAACAGTTGAACAGTGATTACGGAAAACACCACAAATCATGTGTTCTTCTTTTTGCATAAAAATGGCTTAGCATCAGATAATGCACAGTTACTTTATTCCAGTAGTATCTCTACATATGCACAGAAATGGCCAAACCCGCACTCACTCACTGTTGCAAATATGAGGACTACAAGAGAAAACCATACACAAAATGTTGCAATGAACAAAGGACCACATTGCCCAATATACGGGGACATACATGTACATATCAACACATACATCTGCAGAAATTACTTGCGCATGTAGCATGTGTGTACCCTCTTCAAAACCAGTTGTTTTGTTTCAGATACTACGAACATCAGTATACTGGTCACTATGTCCTGTACAAGAATGAAGAGCATAACATTGAGGTATAAATTGGGGATCATATAAACGTCGCTTTAATAACCGTTTTGATATAAGTAGTTTTACGGGCGTACATTGTAATCAGATCTAAACGGGAGCACATTAATATCAGATCTAAAAGGGCGTACATTGTTATCAGATCTAAAAGGACGGATATGGTTATCAGATCTAAAGGGCGAACAGTGTTATCAGCTCTAACAGGTCGGACATTGTTATCAGCTCTAAGAGGGCAGACATTGTTTTCAGATCTAAAAGGGCGGACATTGTTTTAAGATCAAAGAGGCGCACATAGTTATCAGATCTAAGAGGGCGGACATTGTTATCACACCTAAAAGGGCGTACATTGTTATCAGATCTAAAAGGGCGGACATTGTTATCAGACCTAAGAGGGCTGATATTGTTATCAGATCTAAAAGGGCGGACATTGTTTTAAGATCAAAGAGGCGGACATTGTTATCAGACCTAAAAGGGCGTACATTGTTATCAGATCTAAAAGGGCGGACATTGTTATCAGACCTAAGAGGGCTGGTATTGTTATCAGATCTAAGAAGGCGGACATTGTTATCAGATCTAAGAGGGCGAACATTGTTATCAGATCTAAAAAGGAGCACATTGTTATCAGACCTAAGAGGGCGAACATTGATTTCAGATCTAAAAAGGCGCACATTGTTATCAGATCTAAGAGGGCGGACATTGTTATCAGATCTAAGAGGGCGTACATTGTTATCAGATCGAAAAAGGAGCACATTGTTATCAGATCAAAGAGGGCAAACATTGATTTCAGATCTAAAAAGGCGCACATTGTTATCAGATCTAATAGGGCGGACACTGTTATCAGATCTAAAAAGGCGCACATTGTTATCAGATCTAAGAGGGCGGACGTTGTTATCAGATCTAAGAGGGCGTACATTGTTATCAGATCTAAGAGGGCGTACATTGTTATCAGATCTAAAAGGGCGTACATTGTTATCAGATCAAAAAGGGCTGATACTGTTATCAGATCTAAGAAGGCGGACATTGATATCAGATCTAAAAGGGCGGACATTGTTATCAGATCTAAGAGGGCGGACATTGTTATCAGATCTTAAAAGGCGCACATTGTTATCAGATCTAAAAGGGTGTACATTGTTATCAGATCTAAGAGGGCTAACATTGATTTCAGATCTAAAAAGGCGCACATTGTTATCAGATCTAAGAGGGTGGACATTGTTATCAGGTCTAAGAGGGCGTACATTGTTATCAGATCGAAAAAGGAGCACATTGTTATCAGATCTAAGAGGGCGAACATTGATTTCAGATCTAAAAAGGCGCACATTGTTATCAGATCTAAGAGGGCGGACATTGTTATCAGACCTAAAAAGGCGCACATTGTTATCAGATCTAAGAGGACGTACATTGTTATCAGATCTAAGAGGGCGGACATTGTTATCAGATCTAAAAGGGCGTACATTGTTATCAGAACTAAGAGGGCTGATATTGTTATCAGATCTAAGAAGGCGGACATTGATATCAGATCTAAAAGGGCGTACATTGTTATCAGATCTAAGAGGGCGGACATTGTTATCAGATCTTAAAAGGCGCACATTGTTATCAGATCTAAAAGGGTGTACATTGTTATCAGATCTAAGAGGGCGGACATAGTTATCAGATCCAAAAGGGCGGACACTGTAATTAGATCTAAAAGGACGCACATTTTTATCAGATCTAAAAGGGCGGACATTGTAGTTGGATGTAAAAAGATGCCCATTGTTATCTGATCTAAAAGGGCGTACATTGTTATCAGATCTAAGAGGGCGGACATTGTTATCAGATCTAAGAGGGCGTACATTGTTATCAGATCGAAAAAGGAGCACATTGTTATCAGATCTAAGAGGGCGAACATTGATTTCAGATCTAAAAAGGCGCACATTGTTATCAGATCTAATAGGGCGGACATTGTTATCAGATCTAAAAAGGCGCACATTGTTATCAGATCTAAGAGGGCGGACGTTGTTATCAGATCTAAGAGGGCGTACATTGTTATCAGATCTAAGAGGGCGTACATTGTTATCAGATCTAAAAGGGCGTACATTGTTATCAGATCAAAAAGGGCTGATACTGTTATCAGATCTAAGAAGGCGGACATTGACATCAGATCTAAAAGGGCGTACATTGTTATCAGATCTAAGAGGGCGGACATTGTTATCAAATCTTAAAAGGCGCACATTGTTATCAGATCTAAAAGGGTGTACATTGTTATCAGATCTAAGAGGGCTAACATTGATTTCAGATCTAAAAAGGCGCACATTGTTATCAGATCTAAGAGGGTGGACATTGTTATCAGGTCTAAGAGGGCGTACATTGTTATCAGATCGAAAAAGGAGCACATTGTTATCAGATCTAAGAGGGCGAACATTGATTTCAGATCTAAAAAGGCGCACATTGTTATCAGATCTAAGAGGGCGGACATTGTTATCAGACCTAAAAAGGCGCACATTGTTATCAGATCTAAGAGGACGTACATTGTTATCAGATCTAAGAGGGCGGACATTGTTATCAGATCTAAAAGGTGTACATTGTTATCAGAACTAAGAGGGCTGATATTGTTATCAGATCTAAGAAGGCGGACATTGATATCAGATCTAAAAGGGCGTACATTGTTATCAGATCTAAGAGGGCGGACATTGTTATCAGATCTTAAAAGGCGCACATTGTTATCAGATCTAAAAGGGTGTACATTGTTATCAGATCTAAGAGGGCGGACATAGTTATCAGATCCAAAAGGGCGGACACTGTAATTAGATCTAAAAGGATGCACATTTTTATCAGATCTAAAAGGGCGGACATTGTAGTTGGATGTAAAAAGATGCCCATTGTTATCTGATCTAATAGGGCGTACATTGTTATCAGATCTAAGAGGGCGGACATTGTTATCAGATCGAAAAGGGTGGACATTGTTATCAGATCTAAAAGGGCGGACATTGTTATCAGATCTAATAGGGCGGACATTGTTATCAGATCTAAGAGGGCGGACATTGTTATCAGATCAAAAAGGGCGGATACTGTAATCAGATCTAAAAGGGCGTTCATTGTTATCAGATCTAAGAGGGCGGACATTGTTATCAGATCAAAAAGGGCGGATACTGTTATCAGATCTAAAAGGGCGTTCATTGTTATCAGATCTAAGAGGGCGGACATTGTAGTTCGATGTAAAAAGACGCCCATTGTTATCTGATCTAATAGGACGTACATTGTTATCAGATCTAATAGGGCGGACATTGTTATCAGATCAAAAAGGGCGGATACTGTAATCAGATCTAAAAGGGCGTTCATTGTTATCACATCTAAAAGGGCGGACATTGTTATCAGATCTAAAAGGGCGGACATTGTTTTCAGATCTAAAAGGGCGTACATTGTTATCAGATCTAACAGGGTGGACATTATTATCAGATCTAAAAGGGCGTACATTCTTATCAGATCGAAAAGGGCGGACATTCTTATCAGATCGAAAAGGGCGGACATTGTTATCAGATCGAAAAGGGCGGACATTGTTATCAGATCTAATAGGGCGGACATTGTTATCAGATCTAAGAGGGCAGACATTGTTATCAGATCAAAAAGGGCGGATACTGTAATCAGATCTAAAAGGGCGTTCATTGTTATCAGATCTAAGAGGGCGGACATTGTTATCAGATCGAAAAGGGCGGATACTGTTATCAGATCTAAGAGGGCGTTCATTGTTATCAGATCTAAGAGGGTGGACATTGTAGTTCGATGTAAAAAGACGCCCATTGTTATCTGATCTAATAGGACGTACATTGTTATCAGATCTAATAGGGCGGACATTGTTATCAGATCTAAGAGGGCGGACATTGTTATCAGATCAAAAAGGGCGGATACTGTAATCAGATCTAAAAGGGCGTTCATTGTTATCAGATCTAAGAGGGCGGACATTGTTATCAGATCTAAAAGGGCGGACATTGTTTTCAGATCAAAAAGGGCGGACATTGTTATCAGATCTAAGAAGGTGGACATTATTATCAGATCTAAAAGTGGACGTAGTGCAAGAAATGCGGTTCATATGGATGTTTGTGGACAACAGAGAAGAGGAGATTTCAGTCGAGATTCAAAACTGAAGTGACTCCGGATGTCGTAGTTTGAATTTTGTCATTCTTCATACTGTGTGACATTCTAGTCACATCAGCAGTATTTCAGCAATAGTGACCAAATCAAAACAATTGACACATATGTCGAGAATCTGATAACCCACTCACTGACGAAATACACCAAAAACAACCAGAAAATCACAGATAAGATGTAAAGCCAGCATGTAAATCTAAAACTATAGACAACACAATATAGAACAAGCTCAGATCGTCAACAACTGAATGTAGATACATACTTATCTAGAATTTACAATCACTTCCATTTCTTTTAAACAGACAATTATTAATTGTTTTTTTATACTGAAATACTGATCGGATGGAAAAAGCAACGCAGTCATGCAGAACATGGTTGACCGTGATTATTTTATCACAAGAGATGCATATTGGAGGATCCTCACCTTTCAACAGGTACACACGGGTATATCTAGAATGACCAATATGAAATAGTCGAGTAATAGCTTCTCCAAATCTGGACTGACAACCCGAGCACGTATAACCAATAGGTATGATTTCATGTTGAATGTATATACATGTATACCCAATTGAGTGTCCCGCTTCTTTTGCATTAGATCGCGGATGTAAGTTGTAATATCGGTATAGGACTGACTGACTGAGTTTAGTTTTACGCCGCTTTTAGCAATATTCCAGCAATATCACGGTGGGGGACACCAGAAAAGGGCTTCACACATTGTCCCCGTGTGGGGAATCGAACCCGGGTCTTCGGCGTGACGAGCTAACGCTTTAACCACTAGGCTACCCCACCGCCTATCAGTACAGGAAAGTAGAACTGCTGTCAAAGATTTCTTGCGTGCAGTTTTACATGTGTATGTAGCATCAGGAGGGCTGACGAGGAGGGGCATGGGTGTTCGTAAAATAGTCAAATCACACTTCATGTTCTCCAATCTTACATGGAGCGGTGAAGTAGCTTCATGGTTAAAGCGTCTGCTCGTCAAGACCTGGGTTCGATTCCCCACATATGTGTGAAGCCTATTTCTCGGGTCTCCCGCCGTGATATTACTGGAATATTGCTAAAATCGGCATAAAACCATGTTCACTCACTCACTTATTCCCTGTTTGTTATTTACCCTATTCGGTGTATGTGTTTGATGGTTTGATCATGGTACTCCATGTACATGGAAGTTGCTGTGATTTTCTGCAGGTTCAGATGACAACAGCTCCATGTGGGGACAGAGCAACTCCAACGTGTCCATGTGCGATCGCTATACGTTCAGGACGGACTGTGTTCCGATTCGACCGGTGTGCTGGCTACCGCGTACCTTGGGAAATCGGGTTTGCAACATGTGGAGGCCGCCCTGAGGAGATGGCCGTCCACAAGAAACACAGTCAGTATCAGGTAAACATCGCTTCGTTTTATGATTCTAACAAGCAGCCTTGTGACAGGTAAATCAGACAGTTTCTCTTAATTTTGAATATTAATATTATGGTCAGTAACTACTGTCAGTAATTTAGTCTCTCTATACATGAAAATTATGTTATTGATTATGGAAATTTAATGGGTTATTTATGGACAGAGGAATGTCCATTGTGAACGGTAGCGTCACAGTCTATTAGCACTATGCCATGTGAGGAATCGCTAACGCTTTCACCGCTATGCTACCCCACCGCAAGGCATATTAGCGTTATGTCACAGAAATGGGCCAGGTGAAGCAACTCGCACGGACGCGTAACCAGGGAGAAAACCATTTCCACGGCGTTATAAGTTGCCCATCGGTTTACCCACTGAATTGACTGAACACAACTGTTTAGATGAAATATAGCTGACAAAGTAGTAAAACAAAACAAACATACATACAAAGAATATTGGAACAGCAAACCGATGATTTGAGGCACCTAAATCAGTGAGTCAAGTCATACCTTAGCCAAATTTCGTAGGGGATCCCCAGATGCTTGCTATTTTGGTGAAATATAACGACAAAATGCTATTTACCTGAGTAATTATGTTACATATGTTACACGGCATTTTATTTAATTTAGGGTGTATTTGCCTACGGGAACAACAATCAAGGTTGACGTAAGATACGTTAATCTGAATGTGTTCATCTATCCATCCGAGGCTGACATAGGCCTCTCATCGGGTCTTTGTGGAACACTGACGGGACACTGCTGCGATGACATTTCAGGTTCATGGAGGTATGTATAACCTGTATTACAACTGTCATTCCTCTCAGCCCATAGAGACAATACTACTATGACCGATTAAGGTTTGATTGGTTGGCTGGTTTGTTGTTTAACACCACACTCAGCTATGTTCCACCTAAACGGTGGCGGTCTGAAAATAATCGAGGCTGGACCAGACATCCCAGTAATCAACATCATAAGCATCGAACTACGCAATTGGGATACGATGACATTGGTGTCAACCAAGTCAACGAGCCTGACCACCCGATTAGTGGCCTTTTACGACAAGCATGGGTTGTTGAAGACCAAATCTAACCCGGATCTTCACGGGTAAGAGCAGTCAGCAAATTATTATTCCAGTGACTGTAGTAAATATTGGATTTTGAAGCAGGCAACGTGGTAATGTGGTGTGGCCCTGTGCATAGAGCCCAAATCAGAAATCAGTTGAAGTTAAGCAACGTTGCTCACGGAGTTCTTGCATAGGTGACTGTGTTTTGCAGCTTGACTTTTTCCGGTTGAATGCCGTTTGCAGCTTATATTGGAAAAGTCACTTACAAGTCGTGTTTACGCAGAATGTTCAATTGTTATAGCACTGCTACTATAAGAACGCTTCCTGTAGGTACAATATTTGTAGGAGCGTTGAGGTAGCCTGATGGTTACAGCGCTCGTAACGCAGAGGACCCGGGTTCGATTCCCCACATGGGTACAATGTCAGAAGCCTATTTCTGGTGTCTCCCGCCGTGATACTGCTGGAATATTGCTAAAAGCGGCGTAAAACTAAACTCACTCACTCACATAGTTAAGCTTCACGGGTCACTTAGTAAAATACAAATGCTAGTACGTTTTGGGTAGAGTCCCATCTAAGAGTGAGGCAACAATCACCAGCTCATGAAGTTAGCCATCTAACCCACTCAGCCACCTTCCACACAAATGCTGGAATATTGCCTAATGCGGCACAAAACAATGCTCACCTATCAGGAGTTTGGCTAGTTATTAAATTGATATTTAGGTCTTCTGAAGCTGCAAGCACTAACTTTGTCAGTCTATCAGGTATGCATGCATATGTCATGGCACCACTTGATTCACTGCGTGGTCGCCGTTAGCAGCCCATGGCGATGATTTCGAAGGCTTCTGAGGACGAACGGATTAAAGGGTTGTTTGATTGTCAAGTAGCGTTAAGGCATTCGTGTATTAGTTTTGAATCGAGTAAAGATGGATTGCCGTTTATGTCTGTGTTTTATGCGAGGCACAAATGTGCGTCAAGTACGCACAAATATAGATAATGGACGCAGATTACTCAAAACACTGGTCTGGTCCAGATTCGATTATTAGCTGGAATATTGCTGAGTGCGGCGTAAACTTAAACTCACTCAATCAAAATACCTCGCCCGGAGAGCCGCACAAAAAATACCGAGAGCGTACATACAGCGCATCAAGGAGTACTTAGATGTGACTGTTATGTCACCCATCAGTCATGACCACTGTCCTAATCGTCACTGGGGGCGGTGGGGTAGCCTCTAGCAGTTAAGGCGTTCGCTCCACACGCCGATGAAACCGGGTTCGATTCCCCACATGACTACAATGTGTGAAGCCCATTTCTGGTGTCCCCCGCCGTGATATTTCTGAAATATTGCTAAACTTAACTCACTCACTCACTATTCATCACTGATTCAGTCTAGGCTCTGAAGTAATTATTTGAACCTACACTACATTACACCATCTCAATACTTGAAATGCTCAGGGGCGTTCGCTCGTCACGCCGAAATCCCGGGTTCTATTCCCCACACTGGCACTCACTCACTGAAATCCTCATATTACCAGCAAGGATAGGTATTAATGTATTAATAGGGGGTCCCCTGGGTGTGGCAAGTGTTATGAAACATCTACACATAACGGATATGTGATCATATTTTCGGTATCGCATTTGTGTGATAAATCCTCCAGACATTGAACATTTATTTATTTGTTTCAGTCTCGATAAGCACAATTCCCTCTTTGACGACGATGTTGTAAAGGATCTGGAAAGCTTTACGGTATTGGCCTCCTATTGTACGTGTGAGACTAAGCCTAATGAATCTTCAACCAGCCCCCACGATAAAGTTCTGTGTCCTGCCACCAAAGCTAAGCAGTGCATATATCCAGCAAACTACATACCAGTGAATGATAAGAATTCTTGTGCAATCAGGACAAGACGAAGACGATCGATTGGACCGAATCTTGAATCACGAAATCGAAGGGTATTGTTATATACTTTTAATCCTTTTTGTTATATCAGAAGTGTATGGATGGTATTGACTTTCTTAGGGAACGGCTAGTAATCAAATATTCACCAGAAAACTTAGAAGGCTGAGTGAAGGTTAGTCATGCACTGTTAAAAAGGCCAAAGTCAGTAACCCATTTTTTGTTTGCATTGGAGTTATTCAAGGTTGGGTTTGGTGTCTTTTATTCGTAATCGTTTTTTATTAGAACTGCAAGTCCACGTGGGTGAAATCCTATCATCTGACTGAAGAGCATTTCGATATATAATGACATGTTGCTATAATACAATATTACTTAGAACATGGGGCACTGTAATTTGGTGAAACATAAGCAATGCATATTGCTGAAAACCCAAGGGTCATAGTTTACCCATAAAACATATACCATTTTTGTACGATGGCATCTATTCAGAAGCGACAATAGGTAGGAAAACCTCTCCCAATGCTCTTCCCACATATTTTCAAACCGTGTAGAACTGTGAAAAGTAAGAATAGAAACGGGTCTTTCACCTCTTGAAAATACAGTTGTTGAACATCACCGAGTATTTGCAGAAAAGGACTAACACTAAACTGTCATTGTAGTACAGTACAACACCACATTAGGAACTTGTTTCTTATCAGACACATAGGCTGTTTTCATCAGGGCAAAGATAAGTTTGGCAGGGAGAACTACTAAGGCGACACCCGTCCTGCATGGTCAGTGGCGTTAGCAGCAAACGAAATAGTCCCGAGAATCCACAAGGACCGCTCACTGAGTGACTGAGCAAAATGTTGACAGTACATTACATATTTCCAAAGAGAGAATATATATTCCGACATCACACAAACTTGAAAAGGAAAAAAGTATTATCTCGCTGGATTCCGAAGTTTGTCGTCTTATGAAAATAATAATGTCGAAAGTCATAGCAGGAATTGTGGATCAGTGTGAAAGCGAATTCATAATATCACGTTAATATTATAAGGTCAAGTTAAGTGATTTTTGTGGCGCTCTTGCACTTCGAATATAAGAGCCGAAACATTGAGACTACAACGAGTCTATAACGTTGTACACTCCAAATGGATACCCTATTTTGGTCATAGCTGAATTTCTGCATTGGTTATGAGTATAAAATAGTTACTAGGTAAATGTGAAAATTTTCTTTTGCACACAAAGGAAGCTGTTGATACATTGTGTCTATGAACAGTTTTAAATAACCGTTTTCCCATTTTAGCGTGAAGACCTTACCAATTGATTAATTATGTACAAAATTCAATGTGACATGACCCAGTGGTTGGTTGGTGGGTTGTTTCACGCCGCACTCGGCAATATTCCGGCTTTATGATGGCGGCTTGTAAATAATAAAGTCTGAACCAGACAATCCAGTTATCAACCGCATGAACATCGACCTACACAACTGGGATACGGTGACATGTATCGACCAAGTCAGCGAGCCTGACCTCCCGATCCCGTTTGTCGCCTTTTACGACAAGCAAGGGTTACTGATGACGAATTCTCACCCGGATCTTCACAGATCTAAATGACCCAGTTAGTTACAAGTTTTCATTTAATGAAAGTAACATTTTCATAGGTGTTAATTACTTAAAATTGTGTGGTTATATTGTCAGTCAACGGATGGGCAATATTGATATGTGTTAATTACTTAAAAAATCGCGATTATGTTGTCAGTAAACGGAGTTAGTCAACCGATGGACAATATTGATATGTGATAATTACTTAACATTGTGTGAGTATATTGTCAGTCCACGGAGTGGATGAACGGATGGACAGCAGAGTTAAAGAACTCTTTAACAAATCAGCGTCTGTCAACCTGTGTCAAAACATTGATGAAGAAAGCATAGAGCGGAGTAAAGAGGACTGCATTCTGGATATACAGGTTAGAGAAGTATACACTCAGTCTGTCATTTGTGGTTCAGTCATTAAATCCCTCATCTTTCAAAGAAATGATTAATATGGATTTCCGAGAGACATTGTAATTAGGTGCGTTGTGTTTATTCAAAAAGGCATCATTCGTGGTTAATACATTACAACCAGAAATTATTGAGAATTTAAGATTGTAAATTTTTAAAGTTTTTTCACTCATTACTCACGTATTAAGTGTGAATATTAGCAGAACATAACTCCAGATTCAAAGACAGGTGAACAGTGATCAAAGCAGTTAGAAAGTCATGGTCCATGCTGTGCCAATATCGGACCACCTCTTCTTTCATTTCATCAATATTTGTGAGATGTTTCTTATGAGACTTTCCTTCATAAGTCCCCAAACATTTTCTATTGGATTTAGGTCAGGGCAAAAGCTTGGCCAATCTAATAATGTCATATTGGGTCCGAAACCAGGCCTGTGAATGCTTTGAACGATGTCTTGGGTCGTTGTCCTGCTGGAAAATCCAAACATTTCCATAGAACACGTGAGCAGATGGAAGTAAATGTCCCTCGAGAATATCTGTGTACCGCTCACTGTTTATATTCCCTTCAAATACACAGAAGGACGTTGCCCCTAACAAAGATATGCCACCCCACACGTTAAATTTCGGACTGTACTTTGGGCACTGATAAAAAGGTTTAGTTTGTTTGGTCCAGAATTTCAGTGTTTTAGGAAACAGCCACACAGAACTTTCATCTGAGAAAATCACATTGTCCCAGTTAAAATTTCTATGCTGTAATCACCAGTTCAACCTTCGCTCCTTTTGTTCAGATTTCATGATCGGTGATGGAATTCCTCGACTTTTCTGCCAACCCAGTGCATGCAGCTCAGTTCTAATTGTCTCCTCACAGACAGTCACAGTTCCTCTATCAATCATATCCAGCCTTAAGTTTTCTAAATTCCTTCGTTTGTTTTTAGAAACAAGAATACCAAGCCGCCTCCTGTCACCGACAGTCAATTTTGTGGGCCGACCTGCGCCTCCCTGGTGCTCAATGCCATATCCATTTGCAATATTTTTCAAAACACGATAAACAGTGAACAAAAGGAAAACTTGAAATCACTTTAGCTGATCTGATGTCCTTGTTATAATACTCTGAAATCAACTTCCTCTTCTCTAAATCATCCATACTGAAGATCACTGAAAATGTCGTCTGCTAGCAAGTAAACAAAGGGGGATAACTCTTCACAAAACTAATGAAAAAGGATTAACGGATTTGTCTCTCTTGAATGAAACCAAGCACTTGACAGCCGGTCAAGGTTGTTTATACTAGAAATCCAATTAAACATATTTCTAAAATTCTCAATAATTTCTGGTCATACTATAGAATCACTACATAATCCAAAGCAGTTTAGATTCCATTCAGGTTGAGAAAACATGAGGTTTTATTGCGAAAAAGCAATGATTTTGTAATACAAATCAGGAAAATGACAGAAAAAAGCATTTGTCCTCAAGTTGTGGATCAGTGATCTACTGGAGATCTGAAATTTAGTACGTACACACAGTCAGTTTTGTTTTCACATCTTTTAACACCCTTTGTCGCTTTTATTCGAAAAGTTACTTACAAGTCGTATTTTACCAAGAATGCCCTTTTGTTCAAAACCAAAGCATTGCTACTATAAGAACGCTTTCTGTAGGTATAATATTTGGGATAGCCTAGGGTTAAAGCGTTCGCTTGTCATCCAGAACACCTGGGTTGGATTCCCAACATGGGTACAATGTGTGAAGGCCATTTCTGGTGCCCCCGCCGTGATATTGCTGGGATATAGCTAAAAGCGGCGTTACACTAAACTCGCTCACTCACCCAATATTTGTACTACAGTTGATGGGCGACACCACCTTCTCGGACATGGCGGTGGCGACAGCGATGGAACAATGTGGGAGGAAGGTGATGATGAACGCCACAGCTGCTGCTAAAGCTCCTGCAGCCAATGGAACCACAGCGAGTCAGTGGGAGCAGTTTCAGAAGGTCTCCTGCGTCAACGAATGTAGTCACAGAGGAACATGTGTAGAAGGTAAGACTTATCTGGAGGAGTCATTTTGTGCTGTAGCATGAGAACCAATTTGCGTCCATATATTGGATATTGTTACTGAAAAAGGAAGACCATGTCTTAAAATTTGCAACAATTCTCGTCACGTTGCATATTGCTTAGAACTGATGGCATTTCTCCATGATGCGAATGTGCTGATGGGCGAAACTCCGACATGGCTATGATCACTGATTTGTCATCATTGTATCGATAATTTGGGGAAACGTTGAAGCAAATGTAACTTTAAAAAAACATACTAGGCGTCATTAATAAGGGTCAAATGATATATAGCACATGTAAAGAAAGGTTTCTCAGGAATAAAAGAACGAAGAGTGTCATGATAATGTTTAATGTGTTTACAAACGTTCAAACAGTATTAGCAAACATCAGTTGTATAGGCCAACACCTCAAAATGAAAGTAACAAACATGAAGCACTCGCGGGATTGGTCAGTCAATATCTTGTGTACCCTCCTCGCGCGTCCAAGACACAGGTGCACCTTGTTTTCATGTTTATCAAGTTCATAATAAAAGCTTGCGGAATCGCATTCCATTCTTCTACTAGAGCTCTGTGAAGTCCTGAGAGATTCACTGGTGTTGTATGACGTGAGTTCACCCAAGGCATGCTCAATGGGGTTGAGGTCTGGCGAGCTCTACACCCCGCTGCCTAAGGAGTTCCGTGAACTTAGAGGCCTAGCGTTGTTGTCGTCTTGCAGTAAGAGGGTCGACCATTAAAGTCATGCATAGCTTGCAGGAATGGTACTGCTATAGGAGCCAGATCAAAGTCATTCTGTGGTCTAGTCAATAGAACATTAACTAAGGTCGGGAGTTTGGTCATCGTCCGCGATGTATCAAAGGATTTACTTGATGTTACATATACACTCTTCAAAAAGAAAGAAACGGATGAGCCATTTCAGAAGAATTTGTTGCATTAGTTTAAGAGCAATTATTTCATGTACTTTCAACGGTAAAAAAGGTGAAAATTCACACGTCTGTAGACAACGAGTTTGCCAACACAACAGTGCAGCAGTTTATTGTTGTGTTACTGTTTACTTGAGTCCACAAGATAGCGTCAAAGTCAGTACTTTGTGTGGCCACCATCGGCAGCAATTACTGCTCGGCACCGTCTCGGCACAGACTTGATAAGTCGACGAAGTTACTCTTGTGGAATTCTTCCCCACTGTTCCTGCAATGTGATGGCCAGGTGCGGATGTGTCTGAGCGTGTTTTGATGTTGACGTACACATCGATCGCGTTTACCCCATAGGTGTTCTATTGGGTTTAAATATCCTGTTCGGGAAGGCCATAGCAAGATTTTGACGTTAGAACTGTCAAAGTTGCGGACCGAGAGGCGTGCTGTTTGTGAAGTAGCGTTGTCCTGCAGAAACAACTCCCTCTGTCGGTCCATAATCGGAAGCATGTGACGTGCAAGGTTGATGTACCGATTTGTTGTCAAATTTCCCAGAATCACCACTAAATCAGATCGTTGTGTGTTGGATAGTTCTCTCCACACCATGACATTTCCGCCATCGAATCTGTCGACCCATTGAATGCAATTAGGGACAAAACGTCTTCTATCTCGCCGGTGAAGAAAAAATCGTGATTCATCACTGAACCAAACTCGCCTCTAGTTCCTAGGGTTCCAGTTCCAGACTCTACGACACCACCGCGAGCGATTACGCGTATGGAAGGTTATCAAAACAGGGGCGACAACTGGCCTTCTTGGTCGAATTCCCACTTCACGCAATCGATTCCTGACAGTTTGGTTGGAAATTCTTCTCCACGGCTGTGGCAAGACGATGATGCAAGCGAGCAGCCCGAATGGAGCGGTCTTGGGCTTAGGTGGTGACTCTTGGACGGTCCATTCTCGGGCGATCTTTGGCGGAAATGGTCTGCAGGAAACGATCCAAAGGCGAGATATGGTGCTCTGAAGAACGTTGAAATGTCGGGCAACTGCAGACTGCGACTTTCCCAGATTCAACGCCGTCTATAGCGATGTTTTGACTGGCGGCCTCAGTCGTGGCATGACAATTTCCTCTTTTTCATGCAAAAACGAATGACGAAATTAAACACGTTTGTCTTTTTAGAGTAATCGATACCGCATGCTTTTTCGCTTACTTACACGTGCATTTTGCTTTGAATGTTTTCTTGGTGACGTTTTGGCGAATATTTCTGCAAAGGCTTCTAAAGCAAAGGGAAAAGTTGAAATTGCCGCGTTTTGGCGCTGAATGATTGTATATTTATATAGTTCTTCCCGCAGATACATAGGTCCAATTTTCTCAGAATCACCTATTCGTTTCTTTATTTGAAGGATGTATTTGGTAAACTAGGAAATCGAGATTAATACTTACAATTGTATTCGCTAACTCCAACTCCCATTTCATTCAGGCCGTAAGTCAGTTGAGTTCAATATCAATAAACCCTCTCTCGCACATACCAACATGGCTCCATTATAACGTAACTGTTGACTGTCAAGTGCGAATCATGCCTGTCATCATTGGTGTTCAGAGGAGAAAATCTTTACTTCTTTCTAAAGTCACCTCATTTTTAAGGTATTGTTCATGTTTTTGTCATATTACTGGAACGGTATGCAGAATATTTGTACATAGCATTTGTAGCTTGTCTTCTCGTCTATTAATTGACTTTGAGAATGTTTCTCAACCAGGTGAATGTCAGTGTGAGGCTGGATATGGAGCGTCGGATTGCTCTGTAGATATCACCGAACCACCGAGAACATTTGGGCTGAAAGAGGACGGCGTCTGTGATGTCACCTCCCGCACCTGCAACGTCAGCCACATGCTAACAGAGCATATCGTGCAGAACGGTTTCAGCAATTGTCGCACTAGATCCTTTGAGGTATGTTGTGTGTCATTATGTATGTATGTGTGCGTGCGTTGTTTGTTTGTTTGTTTTAAAACATATTTTATTCATGAGAAAAGGATTGGGTACAAGTTATACAACTTAGAACACCCTCTCCGTAGTATTTACATAGTATTATTTACATTCATTCTACAAGATGGACACAGAAGAACAAAGCAGAAATATGTGAAAAGAGGAACAATTGCAACATTTAAGAAAATCGTTTTGAATGAATAAATATATGTTTGAACAATTTTTAAATATGTTTGATTTATGTGAACAGTCAGATCTGCATTGCCATGTAATAGTAACTCATAGGTTATATCCACATTTGTAATACTGCGTAAATTAGTCATCATGATAGTTCTCTCTGTACTGTATATAATTGACAGTCAAATAAGTAATGATAAGAATTTTCACAAACATTTCCACAAGAACAACTTGGGTTATCTCTTAAACCAGCACGGAATAGATCATAATTCAACTGACTACAGGTGTAACGTAGTTTTGTAAGGATGATGTTAGTGATTCTCGGTCCAGAATCAAAGTATTGAGGAGCAGTTTTATGTTTTATAACAATATTCGATATAAAAGAATTCAATGACTCGCTTTTTCTCACTTCAACTGGAAGTTCATTCCACATTCTAATTGTGGATGAAAATAAGAATCATGGGAAAATTTTAATCGCGAGAAAGGAAGTGAGATATCATCAGAGTTGCGAAGATTATAGCTACATTTAGATGCTACGTCCCCAGGAACAAGATCAATAAGGTACGATGGTGCCATATTATTCTGTATTTTGTAAAAGGCGAAGTTTACGCTTTCTCCCTACGTTCTGCTAAAAGATTCCCAACCAGTTTCATAATACAGATGTTCATGATGAGTATATTTAGGTAAACCTGTAACAATTCTTGCTGCTTCTAATTGCAGTTGTTCTAATTTATTTGCTTGATATTTAGCACATCCATCCCATACTTACACGCATATTCAAAATGGGGTCTTATGAACATTACGTAAATTCTATTCAATACAGAGCGTGGTAATAAAATTTGAGTTTACGTAGAGAAGATATCATTTTGAAGTTATTTTTACAATATTATCAATATGGTCAGACCATTTACAATCTTTTGAAAATGTTAATCCCAAATGTTTATGATTATTAACTGTTTTGACACAAACCCCGTTAAAGTACAGATTTAGTGCATCAACATTCTTTTGCAAGGAGAAAAAGATTGCCTCAGTTTTATCAGGATTGTATGTTATAAGCCACCGCTTTGCCCAAGCCCGCAGCCTTTCCAAGTTTGAATTCAAATCTCTTTCAATGAATAGACGATCATGAGAAGATGACCCAAGAGACGAATCATCAGCAAATAATCGTGTCAAGCAGATTAAATCATCAGCAATATCATTGACATAAACAAGAAATAAGAAAGGACCGCGTGCGTTCGTGCGTGTGTGTGTGTGTGTGTGTGTATATATATATATATATATGTATATATACACTATTACTGTTTACTGTTGGTTCGTTTTCATTTAATAATAATAATTCCATTTATATAGCGCCTAGTATCCATCTGACTAGTTGCACACTGGACATTTACACATTTCAAGACGTGAATCTATACGGAATATATATACGTTATACATTGGCTGTTGACAGATCGACTACAACAATAGTGTAACTTATGGTGAAGCGTTACCCCAGGCACTGGAAGTGGAAAGCATTGCTGAAGCGTCTGCTCCCCTGCCTGCAGCACCTCTTGTAATGAGCGCTTCCAACACACGTTGCCCGTGGTTACCTAGTGTCAGTCTCCAATGATGGAAAAGCATACAGTGATGAAAGTGCCGTCGTCATCTTCAACTCATCATGTCAGGGTGTGTGACGTTGCTAACAACGTTGTCACATGCAGATTTGTGGTAAATAACATACCTTTCCATATACATAAACCAGTACTATGAATATCTAGGTCAGTTGGTTACATAAGTGGAAATGAATTAGCTATCCGACGAATACTGTGCGATATCACATCATAGTTATTTTGCTTAAAATCACATATTTCATTCACAAGGAAAATCAGTGACCGCCGCCATATAGCCGGAATATTGGTGAATGCCGCGTTAAACAACAACCAAACCAATGCTACAAGAAACACATCACCATAAATGGAAAGCACAACTGGTGCCCACTTCTTGTAAAGTATGTCATCCCCCTTTATTATCTCCGCAACGCATTTGCGGTGTGTGTGTTGTTTAGTCCGTGTGTCCGTCCGTGCAAATTCGTCTGTTCCGGAGCAGAACATAAAAACCGTTTAATATTCCTTCACCGAACATGGCACATTGATAAATCTGATGGTGAACTGGTGCCCTTTGGTAGTTTTGGATTTCTGAATAAAATAATGTTTGCGTTTCCATGGCAACAAGTTTGACTTCAACTGAAATTGGTGGTAGTGCTCTTGCAGGAGCAGAACATTAAAACGAATACCACTCTATTTCCAGTATCAACATTACTGAGGTACATCAAACCGTGGAAGCACTCAGGCAGTATGTTGTTGATGCAAGCATGCTAGTATGTGAATAGTTTCTATATACTATCCAACAAAGGAAACGCACAGGCAGTTTGTAATTTTAAAAATCTATTAATTACCTATTCTGTTCAAACAATCGTCAAAATATGTAACAAAAGTGTTGATAGCATGATTTTACATAATTGCACTAGTAAGAGAATCGGCTTTACCTGACGCAACGCGACAGAAATCACCTTGAAATTGTGCAGCAAAGAGCATGCACTATCTGGCTATAAAAATCCAGATTACTTCCGGAAGTCGGCATTCGTTTTGAAGGAGTTTCAAGGTCAAATCACTATGCCACGTCTTGACGCTGCGACACCGAACATCCCCATTGAAAGAATGCACGCTGCACGCTGGAGATTAACAGTCTTCTGTTACCAGGCGTCTGAATGTTAGTCTGAGCACGATATCACGGCTTGCACGTTACAACTAAACAAATGACCGTCCCCGTACAGGCAGACCTCGAGTCACCACTGCAGCCCAGTCGTGGTCGTAATGCCACGGGTGAGAGCACAGCAGCCAGGTGCCTGGACTTCGTAGGATACCCGGTCAAACTGTACGGGACAGGTTGAGAGAGATTGGAATGAGAGCCAGGAGACCCGACGTCGGGACCGTGCTACGTCGTCACCATCGCGCTCAACGCCTCCGTTATCTAAAATTATCCACTTGGTTGTATAGACATAACCTTCTTCTAAACTGCT